GCATATGTGGTGCAATGCATGTGGTAGAATATGTGTTGTGCAGTCTATGCCGAGCAACCTGTGGTATGCCATATATGTGCACCAACTAGAATGTACAACATTCGTGGTGTAATAGATGAGCTACCATGTGTTTGGTGGAAGCTATGTTGTGCAGCACACGAGGTGCAATGTATGCTGTGCAGGATATGTTTCGCGCAATGTATGCGATGCAATCGACGTGGTTCAGTGTATGTGGTTCATCTTATGTTGTGCATTATGTGGTCAAATGGTTGTGGAACATGTGTTGTGAATTATGTTGTGCAACATATGCCGTGCAATCAATGTGGTGCCATATATGTGTACAATCCATATGGTGCAATAGAGGTTGTACAAGATATGCTGTGCACTGTATGTGGTGCGGTCTATGTTGCGAAACCAATGTCGGCAAAATATGTTGTGCAATCTACGTGGTGCAATAAGTGTGGTGCAATGTTTGACGACGGGGCGGCGACGGCGGCAACATAGCCGACAGACCGGCGGCCAGACCCAGACGACGGGCGGCGACTAGGCGACGACGGGGCGGCGACGGCGACGACATAGCCGCCAGACCAAGTTTCAGGCCCAGACGACGGGCCGCGACGAGGCGGCGACGGCGACGACATGGCCGCCAGACCAAGTTTCAGGCCCAGACGACGGGCGGCGACGAGGGGCGACGGCGACGACACAGCCGCCAGACCAGGTTTCAGGCCCAGACGACAGGCGGCGACGAGGCGGCGACGGGGCGGCGACAGCGACGGCATAGCCACCAAACCAAGATTCAGGCCCAGACGGCGTGCGGCGACTAGGCGGCGACCGGCGGCGACAGCGACGACATAGCCGCCAAACCAAATTTCGGGCCCAGACGACGGGTGGCGACTAGGTGGCGACGGGGCGGCGACGGCAACGACATAGCCGCCAGACCAAGTCGCAGGCCGGGTTGCTTAGAAGACAAATAAGACCACCTAAGAGCAAGCACTGTTTGGAGAATCAAGTGTTGAAACCCTGCGCAAAGAACATAAGCGGAGAGGGCTGGAGATCTTCCGCACAAAGTCAGGGGACAGAGCAGAGTTGTATTCAGAATGTGCGTGTACAAGGAAGGAAGGAGGCAAGGTGGGAGGGAGGGAAGGAGGGAGAGAAGTAAGGAGAGAGTTTTCAAAGGGGACTCCAAAAAGGCTCGGCAGACACGGTGAATTGTGACTACATGTCCAAACTTACTAGACCCGCCGACACCCTCTGGGGTTACCAGGAAGCGCGAGACATCGCTGGACTGTTGGAATTGCTGATGTGTCGTTTCTCATAAATCGGAGGGTGGGAGGTGAGAACGAAGTGATCTCAGTCAGGAACTCAGCTTCGGTGTCCCTTCGTGCCGCGCGTGCGAGCAACGCAAAGCTGCGCGAGGGCGACGATGTGTGTGTGCGTGTCGGACAAAAAAATCTGCCCCAATTTCACAATGGCCCGCCGTGGTTATCACACGGTTGTCCCGTGGTTGTCCCGTGTTTATCCATCGGTTGTCACGTGGGTTTTCCAGTGGGTTGTCCCGTGAGTTGTCCCGTAGTTGTGCCGCAGTTTGGTTGTCCTGAGGTTGTCCCGCGATTGACCCCTGGGTTGTCTCGCGGCTGTTCAGTGGGCTGCCTGGTGGTTGTCCTGCGGGCCTGTGGACTCTTGTCCCGCGGGTTGTCCCGTGGTTGTCCCGTGGGTTGTCCCGTGGGTTGTCCCGTTGGTGGTCCCGTACGTGTCCCGTGGTTGCCCCGCGGGTTGCTTCGCCGTTGCCCCTATGGGAAAGGAAATCAAGTTGCAATCGGAATACGGATCGACAAGCAGATCCAAGTGCAATCCAAATGCGATCGGAATGCGAGCCGAAATGCCAACCATGTATCAAATGTCAAACGAAGCTCGAAATCCACGGTGAGATGCAACGCGAAGTGCAGATGCAAACGTAAGTCGAATTGCAATCGAAATGCACATATAGGTGCCAACCTGCCTGCAATCAACATGCACACAAAAGACGAAATCGCTATGCACATCGAGCTGCAGGTCGGCAAGAACATCAAACTGCAAATCGTCTTGCACACCGAATACGAGTGCGAAACACATCGAACTCGAATCGATAGATAGCGGCAATCATAGTTGGTCGTATCGATTGGTAAAGGAACCGAGGGGTCTGAGTATACGATAACGATACTCATCTCGAATGGTAGATAATGAGACCGATCGATGGTGAGATCACTAGGTGCATAGTGAGTTCGATAAGTCGGGAGACCAACAGGTAGACAGTCAGGCCTATATATTATAGATAGTTAAATCGGCGCATAGGCAGTGAGACCAGTAGATAACGAGGTCGGGAGATTCATTGATTACCAATCCGATCGGACATCAACCCCAAACCAACAGATGCGCCAATCTCCACACACCCCACCACACACAGCTTCTCCAGAGGGAAAGGCGCAACAGCAACAACAACAACAACATCAACAACAACAACAGTTGCAGCAGCAGCAAAACAAACTCCACATCATCCGAAGGGTGGTCGTTGATGCATTATATCTCTCCAGTCCAAACTCATGCCTGCTGTCTTTCCTCTCCTGCTTTGCTATATCCATATATACCCTGGGTAGCCCACACCGTGAAACAGATAGGGGGGCTGTGGCAAGGTGATTTAACGATGCCCAGAAGAGCACCACAGGATGGCCAAGAGGACCCAGGAGGCCTCCAGGAGAATCTCGAGAGGCCCCGCAGAGAATCCCAGAAGCGCAAGACGGCACAAGGCTGCCCCAAGATGCCCAAACAAAGATCCCAGAAGGGTTAAGTCGGGCGTGTCCCTCCACAGGAGGAATCTTCAAAATAGGCACAGCAACAAAAAAAACTATTGGGACGATGTTCAACTATTCTCGACCATTTAAGTGTACGTTTTTTGGCTATATAGTATCTTCCCTCCGAAACCCGCCTGTATAGGGGACACGCCCGACCTAGCAGAAGGGCACACCGGGAGGGCCCCAGGACGACCCCTTCTGGGGCAGACGAGCCGGCCACCTCGACGAGCACCGAGTGGGCCTCCCCCGCCCCCCCCGGAGACCCCACCCGCCCGCCTCTGCCGACCTCCTCCGCCGCCCCGTCCCGACGTGCCCTCCCCTGCCCCGGGCCCCGGCGCCGCCCCGCGGCCCCCCAGGACCGTGCCCGCCTTCGGTGGTGCAAAGGCGGGGCCCTGAGGGATGGGGCCCCAGAGGACGAGGAGCCTGTAATAGGGGAACATAAGGTGGCATAAACATAAAAACTCGGAGGTCCGCGCGGAGTTCTCGGATCGGCGCTGGGGCCCCCTGGCGGCGCCTCCGGCGCCGCCCCTGGCGGATCCGAGTAATCCGAGAAATCCGCGCGGACCTCCGAGTTTTTACGTTCATGCCACTTTTTGTTCCCCTATGTAAATCTACCCTGGGACCCCTTGCTATCCTCGGGACCCCATCCTTCAGGACCCCACCTTTGCACCACCGACGACTGCCCCGACCGCCCCCGGACGCGGAGCCGCGAGGCGCCCCTGCCGCGCTCCCCATCCGCCGCCTCCGGGCCGCCCGACATGCCCGCCCCGCCCGCAGAGCCGGGGCTCGCTCTGCGCCCAGAAGGCTTCAAGACAGCCGCGGCCTGTCCCTCAGACGAAGACCCTGGGTGGCCGCAACAGGCCCCTAGAGAGCCCCCAAAAGACGCAAGACTCCAAGAGAGCCCCAAGATAGAAGGGGCCCAGGGACGAACAAATAAATACACACAGATCCCAAGATTTCCCATGTTTGTCCATCTTTTCTGGGTGTTCGACTTCCCCCCCACTTTCCATATTTTCCCGTGTTCTCCTGGGAGTCGACGATGAATTGTGTCTGTGTGTTATTCCCCCTCCTGGAAGATGGCCACAAGACAGCCCAAAGATGGCTTGGCCTGCGCGGGGGCCGGCGGCATAGGGCGCAGCACCTCCGAAAAAGTGGACGGGGGCTGCAAGACGACTTGCGCGCCGCACAGCACACAGTCTGAGAGACGATCCTCAGACAACGGCACCAGCAGGTGACTACCCACCAGAGCACCTCAACCTAACCCGAAGACCCAAATTTCGGATTGGGGGGGGTACGGGTTCCACATGCGTTTTCGTTCATTGATCCCCGACGCCCCCCCCACTGGAAATGGAGGGCAAATTGGAGCCTTCGGGTTGGGTTGGGGTGGTTTGGTGGGTGGTGAGCAGGGTGCCCCGTGCAAGCCGGCATCAGGCCTCTGCCGCCAGAGACCTCGAGCTCAGCTCGCTTCCGGTGTCCGACCATGCAGTCCGCGAGGGATCGCCGACGCTCTCGTGCACCGTCTGGGAGGTGCTGCTGCCCCCACAATCCCACAGGCCGGGCGCCTTGGCAGCGCAGGGCCTGTGCGAGCCTTCCTGCGAATTCCTGTCGCCGCACTTCGGGGCCTCGCCGTGCATCTCCCTCTTCAGGTCGCTGGCCACGGAGCGCCAGTAGTCGCGCTCCAGCCGAAGGCTGTCGAGGCAGGAGCTCCCGCCGCCCCCGGCGGCGGGCGGCGTGACCACCGGCGGCGTCGCCCCCGCGCCGAAAGCAGGCCCTGAGCCCTCCGGCGGCGCCCGCGCCGAGGCGGCAGCCGCAGGGGCCGCGGGCGGCACAGCGCCGCTGCCGCAGGCGGCAGGTGCCAGCGCGGGCGGGGTGTGCGCGGATGCCCTCGGGGGCGAGCCCTCGTTGGGCGACGCCAACCGTGCATCCGTTACCAGACCGGCTCGACACGCGCTGCCGCGCGTGCCGGCCCGCGCGGCAGCGCGTGTGGAGCTGGTCTGGCCCAGGGTTGGTGCCGTCGAGCCTCGCCGCGGCTGCCCTTTGGCGACCACACGATAGTCGGGCAGTGCCCAGCGTCTGCCGCCCCCTGCGACAGCCGCTGCCGAGGCGCGGGCTCGTCGTAGGGCGCGGCCGCGGCGTCCCTGGGCGCGATCATGCTCATGAAGGGCCCAGTCCAGAAGGCGATCTGCTGCTGCTGCTGCCGAATGAACAGCGCGCGCAGCGACTCGCACTCCTGCTGCGTCATGGCGAGGTCCGCGCCGAGCTGCTCGCGGTCCCGCTCTGCGCGCTCGATGCGCTCCGCGCTCTTGGCCCTGACGCGGTGCAGCTTGCGCCGCAGGGTCGTGTTCTGTAGCGCCAGGTCGCGGATCGCCTGCGGGCAGCTGAGGTCGAACCCGGCCAGCGCCTCCAGATCCTTGGCGGACCGGAGCTCGTCAGCCTCGTGCTTTGTTGTGCAGAGCCTGCTGCTTGCTATGGAGGAGCGCGTCGGGGCACCAAACTCGGGCACGCGCCCGGTGGCCGCGGAGGCCCCAGTGCTCGCTGCCCTCACCGAAGTGATCCGCGGCGTGCCCCGTGACCCACTGCTCGCCGCCTGCGGCGAATGCAGCGACGAACGCGCAGAACGCGGAGACTGCGACGGCGTGGACTGCACGGTCGGACGGGCGCCAGAGAGCTGGCTCTGCGCAGGGATCTGGATGTAGTGGGACTTTCGCTGATTGTGTATCAACTTGGAATCCGTGGCCATGGCCAGGGTGGACAGCGTGATCGAGCGATGGCGCGCCAGCGGGCTCACGCAGAAGACCATCGCAATCCCACAACCCGGTCGCAAGTACTCCCACAAGCATTTGTTCAGCACGCTCTGCCTCCGCTCCGACTCGTCCAGGCTACCCGTCTGCAGCTTGCGGAGCAGCCGGTTCAGGGATGACAGCGACGTGTTCAGCAGCCGCGCTGACTTCTTTCCCTGCACGGAGGGGTTCTCGTGCTCCTTCTCCGTCCCCGCCAGGTCCACGAGCGTGAGTGCCCCTATGGTGCTCTGCGTGACACCCTCCGGGTCCTCGCCGACGACCTACCAAACCACCCCAACCCGACCCGAAGGCCCGAATTACGGATTGGGGGGGAGGGGGGATACGGGCTTAGTATGTGTGATTCCCCATGTTCCCCGACCCCCCCCCCTCTGAGTATCGTTTAACCGATCCCCATCCCCAGCGGCGCGGCCTGGGCCCCACTCGCCGACTTACCCCCGTAGATGGGGATGTAGGTCGTTCCCTTCAGGCTTCCAGGGGTGGATCCCGAACTGGGGGGTGGCAATCCAGTGGGGGTCTCGAAGGGGATGGGGATGGGGATTGGTGGAACGATACTGACCCTCACTGGGCATGGAGGGCCAAGCTTGGGGCCTTCGGGCTGGGCTGGGGTGGCTTGGTGGGTCGTGGCTCGGAGCAGGGCCCAGCGCTGCGCGCGGCCAGCCCGCGGGCGCAGCCAGAGGGCGGGCTGGCCCCTCCACGGGCTCCCTCGGGCAGCCCGGGGCGGTCTCCTTCCCTTCCTTCTCCTTCCCCCTCCTCCTCCTCCTCTCCTCCTCCTCCTCCTCCTCCTCCTCCTCCTCCTTCTCCTTCCCCCTCCTCCTCTTCCTCCCTCCTCCTCCCCTCCTCCTCCCTCCTCCTCCTCCTCCTCCTCCCCTCCTCCTCCTCCTCCTCCCCTCCTCCTCCTCCTCCTCCTCCTCCTCCCCCTCCTCCTTCTCCTCTCCTTCCTCCTCCTCCTCCTCCTCCTCCTCCTCCTCCTCCTCTCCTCCTCCCCTCCTCCTCCCTCCTCCTCCTCCTCCTCCTCCCTCCTCCTCCTCCTCCTCCTCCTCCCCTCCTCCTCCTCCTCCTCCTCCTCCTCCTCCTCCTCCTCCTCCTCCTCCTCCTCCTCCTTCCTCCTCCTCTTCCTCCCGTCTCAAGGCCCCCCCTTCCAGGAAGGGGCAACCCCAGCAGGGGCGTGGAGCGCACCGACGGGCGCCGCCGCTGGCGGCGCGGTGCGGGGGGAGCGAGAAGGGGGGGGCATAGCAAAAGGGCAGAGTAGAGAATCAGCTCACGGAGGCTGGTCTTCCCAGCGCCTCCCAGCGCCAGGAGGCGCCCACGTATCGAGGAATGGGCCCGGCGGCGGGGCCGAAACCAGCTGCAGGCAGCAGATTTCGTACCCCCCCCTTTCCCTGTCCCCCCCTTTCGTTCGGCCCGAGCGGGGGTGCTGCTCCCTGGGGGGCCTGCTGATGCTAGGTCGGGCATGTCCTCCTCAAGGTGGATCGTGGAAGAAGAATGCAAAAAAAACTTAGAAAGAACCAGATAGTCAAAAAGAGCACGAAAGATCGTCACCATCCGATTATTCTACGACTCGTGGAGATTCCTCCTGTAGAGGAACATGCCCGACTCGATGCGGATGCCAGCGTGGACTACCTCTGGGGGCTTTGCGCGCGCAGCCCTGGGCCCTGCCATGGGTCCTGGTGCCCAGCGGGGCTGCGTGGCAATCCGCCGGCGGGGTTCTGCACGAAGAGGTGCACCACGGCGTGGGATCTGGACGAGCTCGGGTTGCAGGAGGAGACGCCCTCGGTCCGGTTCGCGCGCGCCTCGCCGAGGAGGTCCAGACAGGTCTCCACGCGGGCGACGCGCACAATCTGGTACCGGCACAGCTGCGTCTTGACGAAGATCTCGTCGCTGACGACGTCCTCGCTGATGAGGTCCCCCTGCTCGATGAGCCTCTGCGGGTTGACGAGGTCGGTCAGCGTGTCGCCGAGGACCTCGTAGCAGCAGGCGTGGATGGTGCTTCCCGGGGAGGCGCCCGCTTCCTGGAAGGACGCCTGCACGAACAACTCCAACAGCCCCGGCTCCTCTCGGCGGCGCGCGCAGGGGACACAGATTGAGTCGGGCCTGTCCCTCTACAGGAAGAATATTCAAACATAGTCCAGAAATAATCTGGGGACAGAAGCCCGTCGGCCTCCTGGGAGGCCCCCCTGTGGCTTCGGAGAAGGCTTGGAAAGCTTTCAGGAGGCTTCTCACGAGGCACGAGGCCTCCTGAGCCTTCTGACGAGGCCCGCCCACTCTGCCAGCTGGTGACTTAGGGACCATAGCTCGGGCATCTGGCGGCCATGCGGGACGATGCCGGGCACCCCTGGAGTGCTCTCGGCGAGGCGCAGCCGCTGGAACGCATCCCGAGGGCTGGAGAACCGCCCAGAATCGACGAAAACGTCTGAAAACCACAAAGCTCGACTACACGCAAGAATGACCCTGGGTACGAGTGACATTTGGTGCGCGGCCTTTTGGAGACCGCGGGGGGGAGGGGGCCCAACACAAGCGCGCACGACGCCACTGCCGCCTCGCGCTAGGCGATCGGGGGACCCCATTGGGCCCGCACCAGAGGTAACTCCGGCGAAGGATCACTCTTACGTCTAGCCGAGCAGCTCGAACCCGGACGGCCCTCTTCCCGAAAACGTCTGAAAACCTCGATCCTGCTTCTCCTCCTCCTCCTCCTCCTCCTCCTCCTCCTCCTCCTCCTCCTCCTCCTCCTCCTATCCTCCTCCTATCCTCCTCCTATCCTCCTCCTATCCTCCTCCTATCCTCCTCCTATCCTCCTCCTATCCTCCTCCTATCCTCCTCCTATCCTCCTCCTATCCTCCTCCTATCTCCCTCCTATCCTCTCCTCCTCCTCCTCCTCCTCCTCCTCCTCTCCTCCTCCTCCTCCTCCTCCTCCTCCTCCTCCTCCTCTCTCTCCTCCTCCTCCTCCTCCTCCTCCTCCTCTCCAACCTCCCTCTCCACCTTCCCTCTCCTCCTCCCTCCTGTTCCTCCTCCTCCTCCTCTCCTCCTCCTCCTCCCCCCTCCTCCTCCTCCTCTCCTCCTCCTCCTCCTCCTCCTCCTCCTCCTCCTCCTCCTGCTTCCCAGCGGCGCGCCGCGGAGCCTCCGCCGAGCCGAAGATGGTGTGCGTCTTCCCGCTCCCCGTCTGCCCGTAGGCGAAGAGCGTCTCGTTCACGCCGCCGAAGACGCTCGCGGTCAGCGCCGGGCCCTGCAGCTCGTGGAACAGCGCCCGGTTGTCGTCCGCGGGGCCGAAGACCCTGGAGAACTCGTACTCCTGCGTCGAAGTCAGGAAATCCACCCCCATCGAGAGAAGGAAAAGGAGGAAGGAGGAGGAGGAGGAGGAGGAGGAGGAGGAGGAGGAGGAGGAGGAAGAGGGGTCAAATCCACCCCGACCAGGAGGAAAAGGAGGAAGGAGGAGGAAGAGGAGGAGGAGAAGGAGGAGGAGGAGGTAGGAGGAGGTAGGACGGGCGGACCCACAGAGACGGCCGCAGAGGGGGAAGGGGAGGCTCGGGCGCGGCCTCGTGCACCGACCTCTTGAAAGCATCCCCTTCCGCGACGTCACCCAATCCACCCCCCATCATGACCTGCGGGACGGGAAAATGACCACAGCCACTGCTTCTTGTTTGTGCCGCCTTCCAGTCGGCCGAAGAAGAAGCAGTGGTTGTGGTCATTTCCCTGGTGCCAAGCTCAACGAAAATGGCCACAGCCACTGCTTGGTTTCTGCGGGCTGGAAGGCGGTAACAAAAGAAAAGCAGTGGTTGTGGTCGTTTTCACGCCCCGTATGACCACCCCGAAACGCGGAGTCGTTTAGCAAACGCGCCCAAAAAGGGAATCGAAGAGGGCAGGGCTGTTCAGTAAACACGCCCAGGGCCGTCTAGCACACGCCAATGGTCCGGTCCGAGTGGTGTTTCCTCCTTGGACTGCTAGAGGAGCAAAAAACGGCAGGAACACAAACGTTTGGAGGTCCGCGCGGATGTCTTGGATCTGGCCTGGACCCCCGTCCCTGGCGCGCGGAGCGCACCAGGGGCGGCGCCGGAGGCGCCGCCAGGGGGGTCCAGCGCAGGTCCAAGGAATCCGCGCGGAGCTCCAGAAGAGTTTACGTTTGTGCAGCAAGACGGCATAGACATGCGGTCAGGAACGGTTACCTACTGAGTCGCGGTGGCGGTCCCGGCAACGCGCCATGCCCTGCGAGTGGATCGCGAGTCCCAGACCCCCGACGTCATATTTTTTCACTACGTCGACCCCTGGAGAACTCGACCCATTCCCCTGGACCGGTTTTTCATCCTGAATCGTTTTCTGACGATCCCGAGGGCCGGTAAGGGCCCCAGAGGCCGAAAATTGCGAAAAACCTCTCGTCACGATTCCTGCCTTACCCGAGGGGGTCTGGGGTTGCTCCGCTCTGCGGGGCAGGAGGCCAGGAGAGGCTCTGCACGTCGACGCACTTGGGGGCTGTGGGGCACGGCCACAGCGCGTCGCCCCGAGGCGCGGCGGGTGCCAGAAGCCGGAGGTCTGCGGCACGCGGGAAGCCGCAGTGTCTGGCTGTGAGCTTTCGGTGCGAGGCGGGGAGTAATCCATATCCACCGCTTGGGAGCCGACGGCCTGGTGCCCCAGCGGGCGGTGGATGTGGACATGTTTTTCCTTTGTGGTCATCAGGGCTTCAAGCTCATCCCCGAGAGAGGGAAACATCGTCTCGATAGGAACTGGGGTCTCCCATCGCCTCACGTCCTATAACGCCTTCAAAAAGTACCCTCTCAAGCTCAGTCCTTCTCGTAGCTCAGTCAAGCGGGCGGTGGATGTGGATATATCTATATACATATTATATATATATATATATAGAGAGAGAGAGAGGCCCCCGGGGATCCGAATCTGTCCATGTCCACCGCCCGTCGAGGTCTCCGAGAATCGATCCTCCAGGCGGTGGTCATGAACGAATTCCCGCCTCGGATTCGGGTGCTCGCGCAGGCTTCTTCCCAGACGTGATCGCATCGTAAGAAAAGATCAGGACGGCAAGCTTTGGACATGTTCGGCCTCGGGAGACCCTCGCCGGGCCTCGGCACCGTCAAAAAACGACTCAGGATGGAAAGCCGGAAAGGGTCGGGACGTCCGGGGACGCCGCATCGACAAAAATCAGGACGTCGCATGTCTGGGTTGGGATCGGCGCTGGACCCCCCTCCCTGGCGCGCGGAGCGCGACAGGGAGGTCCAGGGCGGATGCAAGAGGTCCGCGTGGGCTGTCCAAAGAGAGAGATTCTGACTGTGCCGCTGCTTCTGCGCCGAGCTCCTCCAGCATGTAGCCGCGGTGGCAGCAGATCTTCCTCCGCGAGGCGGGGGCCAACCCAGAACCGCCGCCCATGGGATCGGCCTCCAGGGGCCTCGGCATCGGCGGCGAGCGAGGGGGGGAGTGGGAAGGAGAAGGCCTTCTGAGAAGGCTCGGAAGCTCCGCGGCCTCCTGAAAAGGTGTTCTACGCCTTCCCCGAAGACACGAAGAGCTTCTCGGAAGGCGCGAGGACTCCGGGAGAAGTCCCGCCGCTCTCTGAGAAGGCCCTCTGCTTCTCACTTCCCCCCCCTCGCTCGCCGCCGACAGCAGGCCGTGGACATGGATGTACTTGGCCCCCAGGGCCCGAGTGTACCTATGTCCACGCCTGCCAGGTTCCCCGAGCGTTCGAGCAGGGATCGACTACATGATTGATTTACCCCAGACCTGATTCTTCCCCTTCGAATCCACAAGAAGATCGTGGGTTGGGCAGGGAAAAACAACTCTGGAGCAAATCAGTTCTGTAGTCGATCCCCGACTCGAAATTCGAAAAGAAAAGCGGATTTCTTGGATCTGCGCTGGACCCCCCCGCACTGGCGCGCGGAGCGCACCAAAGGCGGCGCTGGAGGCGCCGCAAGGGGGGGGCCAACGCCGATATCCAAGAAATCAGCGCGGAGCGCGAAAAGTTTGTGTTTATGCCGTTCTGTCTTCTTCGAGAAATGTCGCCCGAATCCACAAAAAAGATCGTTGATCTGGCAGGAAAAAACCAAGATTGGAGCAAATCAGTTCTGTAGTCGATCCCCTACTCGAAACGTTCGGTGGCAACTCATGGTGCTCTCCCATAGCATCTTGTCGGCTCTTGCGAGTCAACGCTGGATCGACGCCAAATCGACGCCAAATCGACGCCAAATCGACGCTAATCAGCGCTAACCGACGCGACCCTGGCGCTACCTCATCGACTCCCAGACGCTGATCGGCACCAACCGACGCTAAAAACAGAATCACGAGGGCACACACGGCTCCCATGCTTTGCCACCGCAGAAATGTCGCTCCCCTGGGCGGTGCTGATGGATCACTCCCCAGACATGCGGCGTCCTGGTTTTCTCCATACGTGGTCCCTGGAGATCCCGACCCGTTCCCTGGGACCGGTCGTGTTCCTCCTGGGTCGCTCTTTGCCGGTCCCGAGGCCCTGCGAGGGCCCCCCGAGGCCGAAAATGGCCCGAAACCTCCCGTCATGATTTGCGGTCATGTCTGGGTAGTCGAGGAGGAGGAGGAGGAGGAGGAGGAGAGGAGTCGGCGGCGGCTGCGGGGGCGGCGGTGGCGAGGCGGAGGCGAGGAGGAGGAGTCGGGGCAGAAGGACGGAGATGCGAGGAGGATGAGGAGGAGGAGGAGGAGGAGGAGACCGCTCCCCTGAACGGTGCTGCTGGACAACACTCCCCGCCTCCGCTCCTCTGCCGTGCGCCGCCGCACTCCGGCGGCTCCGCCCAGACGGCCACGTCCTCCGGGGCGGCCCCGGGCGAGGGCTTCACCCGCACGGCCACGGACATGAGGGGCGGGCCCGCTCGCCGGCCGCCGCCCTCGTCGTGGCCGGCCTCGGCAGCCAAGA